TGTCACAAAGAAATGTGTATCAGGTTTACATGCATTGGGAGTGATCAAATTTATGTGGGCAGCAATGCAAACTAGTGACAGGAAGCTTATTGTCTTTCATTGAATCCTGAAGTTGATTAAGGTATTTAAAAAAAAAAAAAAAAAAAGGCAACACTTTCCACAGTTTTAGAACTCCTCACAAACTGTCTCAGGAAACCAAAGTGAGCGTGGTTATCATTTGAGGAGAACAGCTTTCGTGTTCATGTTGTAGCATTCCGAAAAGCTCGTTTTAGTCAGTTTGGACATGTGCTGTGAAACGATGAGCTGAAGTAGGAATTTTGAAAATACAGTTGACTACAGTAAGGTGATTTCCACCCCCCCGCCCCCAAATTCTGAATTAACTTTAATCCTTCAGTTAACAGTTACTGAGCAATGAACCTAGACCAATACCTGCAGCTTGCATGCTGTATGCTGAAGTATGCAGATTTGCTTATTTTGCTATCAGTGTTATCTTCATCTGCAGAGCAGTGCTATACTTAGTCCTTTAAATTGACCTGCCCTCTAGCCTCTGTGGGTAACAAATATGATGAGACATTTCAGTAAACAAGAGAAGAATAGACTGAGGGGAGGGAAGAAAGTAGGTTAAACATGCTCTTTCCAAAAAAAGAAAAAAAAAAAAGTGTGCAGGTTTTGCTACTTTTTCATGTATTAGCTTTTTCCCGTTAAGGTAAGGTACTAATAAGTCAGTTTATCCACTGGCTTAAAAACCACTACAGGCTTTCTGTTTAAAATTTTAGAATTTTAGAGAAACTAATAGCCATGCTACAAGCTGAAGCTTTTGCAGGTAAGTTGGCTTTTATGCAATAATACCTCGCCTGTATGAGCAGGATACAGTATTATCCAGTGTACCTTTCAAAGTTATGCATTGTTTTTGCTGCAACTTCAGCAAAAAAAACTTCACTTGGATTATAATAAACTTATTGCTGTGTAAAACTGCATACAGGCACCATCAGAACTCCCGATTTTGATTGTTTGAGTGGAACCAGAAAAACAAGAAATGTGGATAGGTGAAGGTGGAGCTTTGGGTTCTTTCTACTGTTTGAGCACATGAGCAAGCATTTTAAAAAAAAAAAAAAAAAAAAAAAGGTTCAGGAAGCAAATGCAATGGTCATAGTAGCGCACTGCATTTGTATCATCATGTTGGAGGATGAATATCATAAGCTTTTGACAGCGGTTAAAGTATATTATGTAATGATCCTCTAAAAATAGTAAGATAGGTTTTTTTCTGCTCAGAATTGCAATTAATTAGTTCAGCTGAATACAGGGAAAAGCAAGATCAGTATGTAACCTAGTACTTAGCATATAATTATTTATTTATAGAATATCTACTAATCAGGATTAGTAGATAGCCTCAGTTCACTCTGATGCAGAAAAAATCTTAGACCAAGAATGTAGTTGATGCTGATGACTGGTGTTTGCAAAGAAACTGGTATTAACTGACGTTAATAGCATCTGATGTCCGAGTTTACTGGCACTGGGCACATCAGCGCTGACGTGAAAGTAACAAGAAGACGTAGGTTCCCAGCTTTTGCTGAATTCAGTTCTAATGAATGTAAATGCCAAATACATTCATGCAAGAAGGAAAAAATGAAAGGTTTGATCATAATGTTGTTTGTACAAATACATTTTTTAAAAAGTATTCTAAATTTGTGTGTGTACCCTTTCTAGACTAGCAGAAGAAATCAGTTTTACAGAATAGGCTTTCTTTCTAGAAAAAACTTTTGAGCTGTGACTTGAATATGTTTTAAGAAAAAATTGCACTCCGTTCTTGTGCAGTACGCCTGTGACTTCCTTCTTTGCTTTTTGTGCCCTATTCATCTTCAACATGAGTGCAGAAATGCTAGAATTACCAAATGGCATGTGGGCTTCCCTTCAGAGTTTTCTAGTTTTCCTTTCAAAGATGCACGTCGTGCAGTTTTAACCTTTGAAATGGTATAGCGATACCTGGTATTCTCTCCATGTATGTCTTGAATCAGTTACACGCTGAGTAGAATGATCCTTTGATCAATTGGTATCGAAGTTCATTAAAAACTTCTTCACTCTGAAGGTGACAGAGCACTGGAACAGGTTGCCCAGAGAGGTAGTGGAGTCTCCTTCCCTGGAGATATTCAAAACCCGTCTGGACGTGATCCTGGGCAATATGCTCTAGAGGCCCCTGCTTGAGCAGGGAGGTTGGACTAGATGATCTCCAGAGGTCCCTTCCAACCTAAACGATTCTGTGATTCATTAAATAAGTACTTGACCGCAGGAGTCTGCGTGTTGGCCTATGGTTGTCTCTCTTAACAGAAATAGAGCAAGAAAAGCTCTTCTGGAGCGCTAAAAATCCACAGGCATAACATCCTTTCTATGAGAAGGCAAATACAGATCGCTCTAAAACCAAGGTTTTCCTGTATTCGTTGTTAGTGAGGTTAAATTGATCTGAATACTGGAAGAAAAGGAGGGAGAAGAGATTGGTAACTTCATATTTCTGCCATCAGAAGTAGTCTGATTCTTTGTGGATTCACTTTGTTTGATACTTCAGGTGCCTATCGTCTGAGCTTTGCAGTCCTTTACAGTTAGGCTGTACTGAAATGTATTGAGTGTCATATGGTAAGTTTTGAATATCTGCTAGATGTTATTAAATATCTTAGCCTCCAACATGGATTTGAACATAAACTTAGGTATATGCTATTTTTAGTGAGTATAACTTACCTGATCAATAATGCATAGCTTATATATTGCTGCTTTTCTTCCTGAGTTGTTCCACAGTTGAAAGATGAGAGCAGAGCATATACGCTTTAAAAAAAATACTATTCTTAATTATATAAAACTGTTTTGTAGAAAAAGGTTTATCCATGCTTTGTTTACTGTCCTGCTTCTGTAGAGATTCAATTATTGGCTTGATGTGGTCCACAATCTTTATTTTCCTCTTGTAAAGCTGTCTAAATACTTAGTTTCTGCTACCATCAGAAATAATATTGCTAACAAATTAGTGATGCACCTAATAGTCTGACTGCTATATCAGGAAAGCAGTTTAAACAACTGTCTTTGAAGACAGAATCTCCTTTTGCCAAATTGGAGAGATGAGCAACGAGGGGCGTGTGTGTCTCTGACGTTTTCTGAGATGGTGTTAAATCATGAATAAATGATTGCATAAATAGCAAACCAAATAAATTTGGCTAATGTCTAAACTAGTTGTTGAGTCTTGTTACCTGATTGGATTTGCTAATAGAAATAAAGTTAAATGTTAAATCTGTACATACTTTGAGAGCATTCTACTGGAATGACCTGTGTCATTTCTACAGATGGTGCATGTAAGTTTGTTCTTCAAACCTTATTTTGAACTCTGACTTCTAACATGCCTTTTCTTAAGGGGGGAGAAAAATCTTTATGCCGTTTTTGGGGGGGTTAATACTAAAAAGCAATGTAAAATATGCTTAGTATTTTAAAATGCAGGCTAGAAGTAGACCTGTCATTTGTTGTTCTATACTGGTGTAATCTTTAAAGCTTTTTCAATTGTGCCTCTTATCCGGAGAGCAGGACTGGTCTGAATAATCTTAGTTGTGGTCATGTGGTTGACCCAGTGAAAAACCCTATTGTGCCAAGCCGTGTAACTGCCTAAAATCATTCTTAAACTGCAGAATGCCAACGTTTGGCATTGTTGTAACGCGTTTTAAAGATGATGTACAGTGTCACCTTTCAGATGAAAAGCTGGAACCTGTTGCCTTGTTCAAGTTTTATTTTATTCCTTGTTTTCAGAGATATCTAAACTTTATTGTGAGTCAAGGGAAGGTAGGTTTAGACCGTTAATGGAGAGGTAGGAAAAGAAAAGGGACCAACTCTATTAACAGCAGACCTAGTAATACAGCACGCTAACACACAGTTACAGTGGGTACTACCCAGGCTAGAGGCCAAATTGCTTGGAATTCAATTTATTTTCAAATATGAATCTTGACAAGTGACAACCACAGTGTTGGAAGTTCAAGACTTAATCAAGTCTAAAAATGCTGGCTTGCGCCTTAGTCTGTCTGTCTCTTTTCTCCCTCCCTCCCCCCTCCCCCCCTCCATTTTACTATATATAAGCTTAAGGTTATTGCCAGCCTTTGTAATCCTCGCTTACAGGCGTTTCAGTTCCGAAGTTCTGCTTGTCATACCATGTGCGCTTTTTGTGCTGTTAGGATGTGTTCTGTGCACAAAAGCACAAAAGCTTTTTTTATGGGCTTCTGGTTTGTGGTGTTAAATACTATATAATCTCACTTCTTTCTTTGTTCGTTTCTTCCATGCTTCTGAATGCTTTTAGCATTTTTAACTATAGAGGAAGACTATATTATATTGGCCAAGGGTTATGCAACTGTAGTAAAAGTAAATGGTATTAAACATTTCTTACTGTTTCTTTATCACTTTAAATAGATGATTCACAATTACATGGAACACTTGGAAAGAACCAAACTTCATCAGCTAACGGGGGGTGATCAGCTAGAGTCCACAACCCACAGCAGAATTAGGTAAGCTTTGTTATGCTCTCACCCTGAAATGAAAGAAAAAAATCCATTCATTTGTGTTTGCAAGACTTTGTTCTCTAATCCTACAGCAACGGTTTGGCTGAATCAGAAAGATTTGTTGTATGATTGGAATGCAGTAAGAGAATAGTGTAGAAATCGGTAGAAAAGAGCTTTTGCTAAATGTGCTGCTAAATGTAGAGATGTATTTTGTACATCGGCCTTAAACGATTCCAGTTTTTAAGAGCGTTCTCATTCAGGTAGGCAGGGGAAATGCCGGCAGCCGTCCCCAGACGCTTGATATCTTTCCGTTGCTTTGTGTGCAGGTTCGTGAAGGTGTGTATCTTGATACCCGCTTGTTCTGAGAGCTCTATGTGAATATATTATGCAGATTTTGGTGCTTTCTAGCCAATGAAGCCCATGTGCAAGGGGGAGAGAAGACCTCGCGAGCCGGCTGGGTCGCTGCGTCGCTGCATCGATGCTGCGAGGCGCCCGGTGCGCGGGGGGAGGAGAGAGGTGATGTCATTGCTTTGGAGCTGCTGCAGAAGAGTGCAAAGCCGCTGCTGATGGCATTGTTTTTGTGGCAGCGGCTGAATGACAGACTTTGCTTACAAAGATACACCCTCGGCCCCTGCGTAGCCTTCTCGGTTCCGGCGTTTCACCATGCCAGCACAGCGCCATGAATCCTGGATGCATGCTGCTATTTGTGTTTGGCTTCGTTGGCGGGGCGGTGGTCATTAATTCGGCTATCTTAGTGTCTCTCTCCGTTTTGCTGCTTGTGCACTTTTCTATTTCTACTGGTTTGCCCGCTCTGACGCAGAACCTGCCGAGGATACTCAGGTACTCTGACCTACTGAACCGTAGCTTCATGTGCTCTTTCTTGTTTTCTGCTTTTTGTTTATTTGTGTTTTTTTTTCCTTAAACAGAAAGAGCAAGGATAAATTGGAGATGTAAATTATGTATACGTTTCAAATTCTTCTATAAAGTTAATATTCATAGGCTGGGCTGCAGCAATTTTCTTATGCACTCAAATTTCATTGCCTTTTGTTTAAGCAGGTATAAGGTCAGTTTATGTATTTCTTTAGAAAGCTGTTGTGTTCATCTTCTTATAACCTGCAAAAAAGCCATGATGATGAATGTAGTGGATAAAACTCATGTTCGGTGGGTTGTCAGGTATTTGGCTGATGTTGTAGCCATAAATGGATGCAGGCTGAGGCCTTGTACTTATACATTTCTTTTCTTTTCTTTTTTTTTTTAAATTGAGAGAATTCTGTAGGATCACTTAATTGATAATCTGCTCAAATACATGGTAATTAGTCTAGTGAATTTAAAAAATTTCTGGCTATTTGTTGGGAAAAAAAATCTTTCATTATTTAAGCATTAGAGCTCCTAAAGCCTATTCACTATTGTTCAGCCAAATGTTATCCTCTTCTCCCTTTCTGTACTTGTATGGCAAGTGGCCAACTCTGTCTGTCCTCCCTCAATTTATGTTCTGTTTGTCCTAGTTGCCTGGAGCGGTAGCAGATACGTATTAGAGTATTGCTATCATAAGTAATCTTGACACACGTTTTAGTATTATAATTGCAAATGGAAAACAATTGGAAAAGTTTTAAACTGTAGCTTTCCGAACTAAAAATTTGATACACTTTAACTGTGTTTGTAAATTTACTAACAAACTTTATTTGAAGAGAAGAAATGCTGGAAATGTTTTTGTCCTCCAAAAGAGCAGTGTAGCTTTTTTGGCTCCAATACCTGGCTAATATGCGGACTTTTTGTAGTGGGCTTTTTAACTTAGGTCTCTGAGCATATATGGACACATTCATGTGCATGCACATTAAATATAAATAAATAAAAACAGTTGCAACTCTCTAGAGACTGATCCTGTTTAGAAGAAAAACTTCTTTAAAAGAAAAGAATCGCCCTCTTTCCCGCAGCCCCCACCAAATCTTAAAAAAACCCAAATATTTAACTTCAAGTTCACAGATGTTTAGACCTTTTATACTTAACTGCCAGCTGGTTTAAGAAATGTGCTTTTTGTAATGTTTTTTTTTTTTTTTTTGCTTCCCTGGTGAATGAGTTTTGGTGGTGGGATTTTCTTGTTTGGGGGTGTATGTTTTTTGGGTGTTGTTTGGAAACCATGCTTTTTCCTGTAGTAGCTTTTGGGAATTAAAAGAATTGAGAAACTTAGTTTCTTAGCTGGCATTCATATAAAAAGGTAAAAATATAGGATGAAGAAATCTAGTTGTAAAAGCGGTGTTTGTATTGTTTACCTTTAGTCAGATGTTACAGAACATCTGGTGTTTGTCCTAAAGCTTCCTGTATATATTTCAATGCACCACTTCAGAATATCAATTTAACCTTTAAAACATATGCTTACCTTTTGGTCACCAAAACGTCTGCAGATATTTCTTGGACGCTGAGGAAGTAGAAGGGGTTCTCCGCTCTCCAGTCGATAACCAGTGAAATAAGTTAAAACTGCTTTTATTTAGAGAATACCTTTAAATGCAGACACGCACACAATACACCTTCATTTCCAAAATAAGTCCCCCTTTCAAACTTTGTTTACATGTATATTCTTGACGTGCACCTGAACTCATTTTTTTAGCGCATCAAAATAAGTTCATTATAAAGCTTATTCAAAACTATTCTGTAAAAAGCAAGTCTTAGTTGAGAACTTCTTTTAGATACACTTTTAAAAAGTAATTCTCTCTGCTGATCACAGCAAAGAGGGATGAGCTTTGTGGCATGTTCTGCAAGTAAGCAAATCTGTCTGTTTTGAACCATTGCTCCAGGAGGCGGTTTCCAAAGCTAAGAACCCTTCACAATGCATGCTTTATAACTGGCTTTCTTGTAGGCTAAAGCGTTTCAACTTGCCTTTTTTCTTTTTTTCATACTGCTGGATTTCTTAACCAATGAAATGTTTCAGTGCTCCTTTTGACATAATCTAAGCTTATGTAGTGTGCCTCTTTTGTTCCTCACATGTATTAGAATTGTGGGAAATCTAAGGAAAAGCAGTGCTTGTTGTAAGAGCGAGAATTGCCGGAAACTTGTATTTGGTTGTAATTTATGAAGATTTTTCAGCAAAGTTACTGTTCCAATATCTGCAGACCAACTGATGCTTCTACACTGCTTCCAAACTAAGAACTTGCCTTGGATTAATATTTACAAAGGCCCAAGAGATCTGCAAATTGAGAATTAGTTGCAAAGGTTTTTGTAACAGGAAGCATTTTTATACATCTGTGCTAACAAGGTTCACACCAGTTAGAATTGTTTGCTATTCGAATATTGTTTTCTTTCTGGCATTGTAAAATTTACCAAAAGATGTTTGCTGCCTAGTTGCTAAGTACAAGCTCATCTTGACTACCTTTTCTTCTAAATAATAATAATACAAAAAAAAGCTGAACTATTTTCTTTCCTTTCAACATTCCCTTTCATATTATTGCATATATAACTTAGATGCAGCTACTAATTTTCTGTCTAGGTTATGGTTAACTTTTCAAAAGCCTCACAAAAAAGGATATGCAGTTCTGATCTGACTATTTTTACTAATGCTAAAATATGTGGAACAGCTCTCAAATCTTCATACTTTGTCCACAGTGTCTCTGCAGGGGTATTATTGGCAGTCAAGAAGTGTGATTTTTTTTTTTTTTTTTCCTGCTATCACTTGTGTGTGTATTTATTGTCTGCCTTTAGTATACTTAAGGCTTTACTTGAGCAATGCTATGTAATTGCAGTCCTTTTTCTTCTGGATTTCATTGTTCTGACGGAACAGATATTTTGCTTTATCTCAATTCTACGCCTGGTCGGTATTTTTCCTTTTCAAGCCTGGCTGCAGCATTGTATGCGTTGCAGTCTGAGCAGTGTGCTTTTCTCACAATAAGGAAGAATTAATCTTTTTGCTTGCTGATCCCACTGCTGAGCACAAGGTTGGCAGTTTTTGAGGATCAGTAATGAAGCTTTGGAATTTCCCAAGGTGGTTTGCCAGACAAAAATGATGAAGAGAGCAAAAGACAGTGGAGGGTTGGGAAGAAGTCACTTACCTTCTCTACTGACCCTTAAGTCGTAGGTCATGTAACTTTAAGCCAGTGCTGCTGTTTAAAGAAGCAGTTATATCCTGGCAGCTCTTTTCTGCTTAGGTCTCTCTCTCCCTTATGCTGGCATAAATGTTTGTGCAACCTTGATGTGAACTAGAACGGGGAACTGATCTCTGTTAAAACTAAGCATTTTTGGCCTGGATGATTTTAACTTAGGTAGTTCCTTGACCCAGTTTTCTGTGGTTATACAAATGCGTACAGTTCACATGATCTTTAGAAGAAAACTGTGTTTAAAACATTGAGATGAATGGACTTTAAGCTGATTGTTTCAATTAATGCTTCAATTAATGATTGAATGGTTGATTGTTGTAGAAGTGTCATGGTACTGTGTATTTTGCAAAAAAAGAAAAGTGAAAAATGGTATTTTTATGTGGTTGCTGAAAATTGTATTAGTTTTGTCTGAAGTAAGGAAAGATTTTTCATCTTGCTCTTCTGTTTGTTTTCCATTTCTAGGACTTTTTTTTTTTAGTCTAGATTAGCTTAGGTACAATCAAAACTACTGCCTAAAACTATAGAGTAGATGAATTGCAGTTAATCAAAGCATGTGAAATGAGAAATTATGTGCTGCAATATGAATTGTACATGCCATGTTGCAAATTTAAGAGTATCGTATGAGTGTTTGGACCTGTAACTTTATCACTTCCCTGCTGATTTCAAGAGACGTGCAGAACAAGAAACTGTGTGGCGTATAAAATGGCTGATGATATCGATCTCTCTTTCAAACAGAAAGGAGCGTCCGATATCACTGGGCATCTTCCCGTTGCCTCCAGGAGATGCACTACTTACACCTGAAACTCAGCGAGAAGCAGGGGAAACGCCTGGATCAGAGCACTGGAAATTCCACGAGCTAAGCCAGCCACGGTCCCACACTAGCCTAAAGGTGAGTAGTTAGCTTGTTTGTGTTTTGCATGTTAGGAGAAATCCTCAAATAGCAGACTACAGGAAGAAACAGTTTGAGTCTTCCCCTCTTGGATTAAGGACCATTTCCAAGAGCTGGTCACTTGTTCTTTGCAGACTAGGTGTGTAACTGGATAGTATAAATAAGTCTGTGGTTTAATGTGTTGTTAGAAGGAAAGCTTGGATTACTATAGAGGCAGTACTGTAATACAGCCTTTGCCAGGAGTGTAGTGTGGGTATACCACAGAGTGGAGAATGACCTAGCTTTCCTAAATTAGCCTGTAATATGACTTCCCTTACATGCAGTTTGGCTGTAATTCCTCCAATTGTTCTCCACTCCAGCGGTGAGAGGGTGGCATAGTGAAAACGGCAGTGAGAGAAAAATGGGGAGAGCGGAGGTGGAATGCAGTGAGTCTGGCAGCCAGGACTAGAGTACAGTAACACAGCATGAGGGGAGGCATCCGCAGCAGGAAGGACTTGGATATGTAAAGCCTACCTATATCTTTATGTTGGTGAGCAGTTTGGGAGGCTATGACTGTACTCTTATGTCTGAAGATGCATGCAGCAGCTGAAGGGAATTTCTTCCTCCTAAGTGAGTATAACATCTAGCAGAAGAATATCATAATAAGAAGTAAAAGCTATCCAGAAATAATTTGAACTCTGTGTGTGTGTGGTTTTTTGATTTTTTTTTTTTTTTTTTTTTCCCCCCCTAAAAGGCATATGGAGATAATAGGAAAAGTGAGTAACGGCTAATAATAAACAGGCATCAAAGTGACAAAATAAGTTTGTCATTTAAACTGTTGACTAGAACCATACTTTGGGATCTTAAATTCTTTCTGTTCTCCTTTAATAAACTGATAGATTTTTAGGATGGCTGACGGAATTACAACCTAGACTTATAACTAAGAGTAAGTGGAGCAGAAGTATAACAGGAATTCTGATCTCATCCTGCCCCCTCAAAAAGTTATACTGGTTACTATAAATTATTAACATAGATTTTGTAGTTTAGTTCTTCTAAAAACACTGTACTACTGAAAGAGAAAATTTACATAAAACAGCACAAACTGTGATCTTTTAAACATAATTATCAGAATAAGTTCTTTAGGTCCTGATGAGCAGTATCTCTGCTTTATAGATGTGAGTACAGAATACTCCTGAAATAAACCTATTACATAGCATGATATATTGAGGTCATTACTAGGATTTGAATTTCTTTCCAATAGTGGTTCCCTTCCCCCCCCCCCCCCCCACCCCCTTTGGTAGGCATTGGCAAGATGCTGCTGCTTTCAGGCATCTGCTTTTTGTTCATGCACGAGCATTTCATTGATGGTCAGTGGTTCCTCTTACAAACATCACAGAGTAGATGTAGGGGAAAAATACAGACTGATAAGACTGGGTAGTTTGCAGCTTTATAAGGTAATAACATGACTGGGTATCATTGGAAGACAGTGTACAACTGTGTGCCATTCTGTACTCTTTCTGTTTGCGTATTATTGCACATGAGCTACTGCCTCTCCAGATTCCATGGTCTAAATTTTAAACTAATTTGGCAGCTTTCAGGAAGAGGGGGGTATGGAGGATGTTATTTTGGCATCGTTACTTAACAAGCAGCAACTTTGCTAAAGCATCGGCTTTCAGTCGTTTAGTCTTTGAGATGATGTTTTGATTTTCCTGCAGTTAATGGGATTGTATTTCATTTTTCACTAGTTCCCAGAACAGGTGTTCATAATGGTTCAATGAGCATAGTTTCCAAGAGTTAATTAAGAAATTCAGTAGATAAAGCAAAATCAGAAACTTAAAATGTATGGGATTATTTGAAAGTCTTGTAAGCAAAGGACCATTTGCTTTACCGCTTTCTTTTGAGCTATCACTATTTTTCTTGAGCTTTATGTGTGAAAGTCAGTGGTAAACATGTGCCGCACCAGTTAGTGGATGCGCTGGAATACAAAGATGAAGAAATGTTTAAACAGGGCCAACGTTTCTGTTGAGGTTGTATTACTCGTTTGTGTGAACTCTGCATTCCCTTGGTAAGGGATACTGTTTCCTCCCTCTGTAACCATTTGCAGAAGTATAAATCATTATCCAGTGGCTGAACTTCACCACTTCAAAAGACAGTGAGTAAATTGTGTAGCCATTTTTAGAAAATGGACACCAAGTATCTAGTATAACCCCTTAATATGTGGCTTTGTTGCCTTGAATAACTAAATACAGGATAAGCATGCTTTTTTTTTTTTTTTTAATTCCTTTGGAGATGTCTGACTTTTTTCTGAATAATTATGTCAGAATATCAAACATCAACTATTGGTTATTTTGAAATCCTCTAAAAAGAGGAAAACTGGTAGTAATTAATGGGACAGATTTTCAAAGCGCTGAATTTTGTTTTTAAGACTTCCAAATTCCATGTGAGGACGCTACTGTGGGATGTAAGCTTTTCATTTAAGCAGATGTACATAAGCTATGTGCAGCTTTTCTCCCCTCCCCCATAAACTTTAAAAATGTTATCTTGCAAGTAAACTCCAAAAGCAAAAATATGGAAACTACGAATCCAGATCCTCCTATACTGAGAACAAAGGAGAGAATACATGTTTATACACAACCCTTGTTTGGTTGTAAAATAATATTGAAATTCACTTTCCTTTCCTTCTTGAAAGGGATGCTAGCAGTACAATGAATTAATACTTCAGAAAATCTAAACTTGCTTCACTCTTGACAAAAGTTTTATTATCCCAAGCTAACCAATACTTGCTCTTTAAGTGTCGTAGAAGGTCTGAGTGTTGCTTTCACCTCAAACAGAACCTGAAAAGAACTTTTTATCAAAGCTACTGTTCTGTGTTCATTTAGCACATGTCAGTCTCAATGTTTCATCTAGAAATTTCCTAAGGAGATTCTTCTAATAGTGAATACAAGACAATTTTGGCTTAAGTAGACCAATCTGTTTCCACATATGCAGTGATTTCTTGCTCACTAGAATGCTACTGTTTAAGTTGTAGTTAAGACATCTGGATGCTGGTACAGTTCTGATCATGGAAGAAGAGTGGGAAAAAAAAAAAACTGAGTGAAAGGAGGCAAGATCCAGAAAAAGGCTGCTAGTATTATCGGGTAGTAGCTTCTAGTTATACCAAAGGCAGCCTAGTCCTGCCCTTGAACACGGTCTCCCCGGACGCAGCCCTATCTCTGTGTAGTGTTCATAAGCTTGAGTCCAGTGGCCAGATTCATTTCCATATATTTGGCTCTCCATACAGTGCCACAGTAATGTAAAGTGTTGCCAGTAATCAAGTTCTGAGAAGGAGCTGTTTACTGATGTTCCTTAGTTTATGTGAAATCCAACCAGACAAGTAGTCTTTGCCATTCAATATCTCATTTAAACTGTTTTTAAGCACTTTCCAGTCTGATTTCTAAGCTCTGGATGACATCGGGAACGAGTGAAAAGCTTGCAAATAGTATAGTTTTATACTGGTTGAATCAATGTTCTGTATCAGTGCTTCAATGTTAAGTACTCAATAAGTTATTTTAAGGTATCATGCACGTTTTGAACAATTAAAATTTTAGGGTTTTGGGAAAGCTGTCAGCACTTCATTGTGCGGTTAGAATTATTAATTTAGGAGTATCACCTGCTGTCTGGAATGCTTAACAGACAAGCATCATGAGCTTTTGACCACACTTTAGCAGCTGAGGTCGAACATTGGGATTAAAATAAAGGCATGCTTTATGTAGCTATAACCTCCTTAATAGACATGACACTACAGCCGTACTCTCAAGATGAAGTTGCCAGTACTGGCCCGAGGCATTACTTCCGTTCCTGGCTTTTTGCATTTCCATATTCTTTAGTAAAATACACTTATTTTAGCACTCGCTCTTTAGTTTCTTTCTTCCCTAACGCTCCTAATGATTCTGTTGCTTATGTTGCTTTTATCAATGATCATGTTCAATTGTAGGATGAGCTCTCTGATGTTAGCCAAGCAGGCTCAAAATCTACTACTCCAGCATCAACGACTGCTTCAGATGTACCTGCACTGCCTGCTGAAACTCCCCAAAAGGAAGATGTTGAGGGACTTGCAAAGGGCACAGATGTGCCGAACGAGAAGCTGGACGTAAGCAAGAACATTGAAGTACAGGTAGCTCAGGAGACAAGAACTGTGTCCATTGGTAAGCTGCTGTAACTTTTTAGTATTATTACAGGCCTCGTACGTAGTCCATTTTGAAACCTCTGAGTTATTGTGCCAGGAATGAGAAATGTTGGTTTTTGGTGGTGATGTTTGTGTGTGGTTGTGTTTTTGTTATTTCTTTTTCCTTGGTATTTTTTAGGAGCACAGAATATTTATAAGAAGTATGAGTCCATTGTTTATTGGTAACTTAGCCCTTCTTTTTCTAGAATTAGAATTATTTATGATAATCCCTTTTGAACAGCAAAAATGGCTCTTGTCTAGACATAAAGCCATGAAATGAGACAGACATCTGCTTGGTTTCGAATGCTGAAATAGTGGGGAATAACTAGCATTTAGAGATAAAGGCAGTGTCTTAAAAATTAATTCTTACCTATTTCTGATGCGAGCTGCAACTGAACTGCTATTCAGTTATGGGCAAGGGTAGTGAATAAGCAGCTTACATGCCGAAGAAACTGAAACCATCACCTCAGAGCACTGGAAAGCTGCATTCAAATTGTTGCTATATGATTACGTTGTAATGGATGACTGGAGTTAAATTCAGGTGAGACTTGCTTAGAAATTCCAGTGTCTGCACTGGATTATCATAAAACCCATAGGTCTTCTCGCTTATCGAGACAGCTGTTGACAGGAGTCTGTTAATGATTAGTAATAATTTCATATAATATAATGTTGTATGTCACAATTTAAAGTGGTTTTGTTTTATGGAGATATACCACTTGCTTTTCCTAAGGTGGAAATGAAAATGAAGAAAAATCTGAAGTTCAAGCAATTATCGAGTCAACTCCAGAGTTGGATATGGATAAAGATCTCAGTGGATACAAAGGTTCCAGGTAAGTCATGTGCTGTCGTTTGAGTAAGAAGACCATTTTAGAAGGTACCAGAATTCAGCTTTGAGCTTGTGACTTCTGGAATCTTAACAGCCTGAGATCACACATTATATAATGAAACCCCTACTTCTGTGACCTTATTTCTTTTCCCAAATGCCTCAGGAGGTTTTATGCACAGCAGCAGTTTTCTTCTGTTGCTAACTCCTGAAGTGAATATTCAGGGCACTTCATATTATAGTGGTCTTAATGCTTAAAAATTTTTGTCCGTGTTCCCAGTGAAGGTTGTATATCAGAAAGGCCTTTTCTCCCTAGATCTAGGTTTAAAAATTCTGTTTTTTCCAGGTTGCATTCTTGCATTTTTCACCCATAACTTTACGATCTGGACTTACGACTTCTTTTGCAAGTACTACAGCATTTATTTATCAGATACCAGTGGTGTGCTCCCAGTGCTGGCAGAATGCTTTTGCCGAGGTCTGAGTCCTTGATGACTTTTGCATGTGAAGGATAACATTCTTTTAAAAGCTCTAAAGCACTGTCAAAAACTAACATGTGCTGTTTCATTAGCAGGGGGAGTGTCTGACCTTTTAGGTAAGCCCTGAACAGTTTAGGGTCTAGCTGCTAGTCCTTGAAATACTTGCTCTGTGTTTCGTTCTGGGAGTCACCTCGTATAGTGAATGTTAATGGCTTAAAATCCTTGTGTGAAAGGAGGCCCCTTTCTGGCCAGAGGAATATTCCGATCTCTGACCGCTTAATTCTCTTGCGTTCTTGTAAAGTTAAACGATTCCCTACTTGACTGAACTGTCTATTCTTTAGGCACTTAGACTGACTAAGCTCTGATGGGAAGTTCTGAACGCCAAACTCCATATTCTCTCATTTGTTAAAATCCAGAGCAGCTAAAAATCCACAACCTACTCCAAGTTTGGGGTCTTGGTGCCAAAGTAGTATTTGAAAATAGAATTTAGGATTCGTTTTCCCAGCTAGTTTTTTTTTTTTTTTTTTTTTTTTTTTTAAATGTGGTGACAAACGAACTACAAGTAAAAACCTAAGGAACACTTCTTCAGTGTGGGAATAGTTTCTTCCTGCTTTTTGTAATTGTATGTTTATTTTAATTCTTTCAATAGCACTCCCACCAAAGGTATAGAGAACAAGGCATTTGACCGTAATACAGAGTCACTCTTTGAAGAGCTGTCATCTGCTGGTTCTGGCCTAATTGGAGACGTGGATGAAGGTGCAGATTTACTGGGTAAGACGGGTTATTTAAAGACACTGCATATAAAGTGCTTTTCCTATTTAGTGGAGTGTTACCTTTTAAATTACCCTTACTGGGTTTGCTGTTAGGATTCATTTGCATTAAAATCTTTCAGTGTCATCCTAAGTGGGTTGTTAGAGTTATGTGAAAAGTTGGAGAACGTGTGCATTTTTCCCTTGTTTCAGTACAAGAGTGTCGGCCGTAATCTTTTAGAGCGCTTCTCCAAAAGTGTCCAGTGCTTTGCATTTAGGATTTTATCTTGAGCTGAAACAATCTTTGTCTTAATTTTACGTACTTCAATTCAAATCATGCTGGTCTGTAATGGCCTGGTTTTATCATGTCTATATGGAATTGGATCTGTAAGAGAGAATGCAACATGCTGCAATAGTAGTCATTTGAGAACCGAGCCATGAGGAAAAACTTGCAATTTTTCCCCCCTAAACTGCTTGTTGCTGCTTATGTGTTAACAAACTATAGGTGGAGGGGAATCTAAGTACATCGGGAACAAAAGGTCATTTAAAAAATGATCTGTCTATACATGGCGTAAGTCTTGTACTATAAGAAGATATTTTTGGCCACTTCAGTGTTCAGGCCTCATTTGTTGAGGCCTTCTCTCTTCTGAGAGGGCAAAAATACTGATGATTACTTTTCAAATTGTTTTGAGAGTGCAATCTGGATTTCTGGTGGTTCAGTGTTCCATTACAAACCCATTTTATATGGAGGAGGTAATATTTCTGTAAGGGGCAAGTCATTTGCAGTGATGGGCCTAGTTCCAGTCTAAAGTCACGAGTTTTCTTTGTTACTCTGTACTGCTTTGAGTCCTGAGTAGTGAGGACTACCCTAGCGGGAACGTACTTCATCTAAAACTCCTGTGCTCTGTCACAGGAACAACTAGTGACACATTCTGCATACAAAAATACAGGCGCTGGAGAAAAAGTATTCTCAGTTAGCTACTACTGTCCCTTATTAACAAGATAAATTTCTGTCAGGACTTCCTAATAAAAGATGCTTTGTTTTCCATGGGCAGAAATAACAGCACTCTTTAGTACACTATAGCAAAAGTTTTGTTACCGGCTCTTTTAGCAGGTTTTTTTTCTCCAGTAAAACCATTGCTATAAAGCAAGAGCATCCTAACTGCATTTGTTACGCAAAGCGTGTTGATCTCTTAATAGTTTCACTATATAATCACCGTTTCCTTACGATACAACCTTAGTCAGAACTATTCTGTGTTACCTGAAAGCCACGTCTGCATCCAGGATATCTGGTGGGGGTTTTTACCATTTGGCTCCTTTCTAAATGAGCATTAAATTTTAGTTTTGCATTCTGTAAAAGTAGTTAATTGGGATTCTCTAATCTGTTTTCTCTTGGGCTGCATACCCAGGGGAATATTCTGGTGTGTATGCTTTCTTTTTTAAAAACAAAACCAAAAATCTTTGAAATCTGTTGCTTCTACAGTTAGGCGTTCTTGGCTGCTGCTCTCATATAATACATTCTCTGCATTTTTTTCTGTGCTTGGTAATGTTATTTTTGCCCTTCTACTCCTGGCTTTCTAGTTTTTTGCTTTCGTTTTATTTTGTTTTTTCTTCTTCCTCCTCACATTGTAAAGGATTCTAAAACCTGTCAGAAGTCATCCTAGATACTTTTTAACGATGAATACATTTAAAAAACAATAACTATTTGAATAAAAAGTTCTTGATGACTTAGCATAGGGGACTTTGATTTTTCCAGATATTGATAAAGTAACAATAGCTGATGCAAGTTACTTCAGTAACTTAATGCCACTTATTTTTAATCTAAAATCCAGAGAAACTTGAAGAGATGGAACTTTGACTTGCATGTCTATTTTTAGTACCGTTTTTATTGTTATATTTTTATTATTTATCATCACTTAGGTCTGTGGTTATCAGTTATTTGAAAGATTGTGGACACAGAATATTAAAAAGGCCTCCACAACTAAGAGATCTCTTTAGTTTTGTTGTTAATCTCAAACTGGTATAAGCTGTGCTCTTATCAGAGTGGTAGTCATGGTAGGTTTAGTTTAAAAAGAATTCTACATCTTGCACAGCAAAATTGTTTTCATGTTTAAAGGGTTTTTTTGGGGGGGTGGGGAGGACAGGGAGATTGTTAATCCTGCGATTGGTATTACTTTAGGCATGCAAACAGCAGATTTAATAAATTAATTTCCAGGAATTTAGGTAATATTGAAGTAATATAACTAAAGAGTTAAGTTCGCTTTTTCATAGTAGCATGTATACTTTGAACTTTTACTGAGTAGCTTAGCATTTCTAAGTACTATGCTCCTAAATTGTTTCGCAGAAATTAAGGTAGCCTTTTAATAAATTATCTTTATAAGTAGTCTAACCAATAAACAATATTGTGATGGTGTGGTTTTTCTTTTCTTTTTTTTTTTTTTAAAGTGTCTGTCTTTCCTGTGAATCCAGCTTCTAATCACATCACATTTCACTTCATATTTTTGGTTGTGGCTTTGTTTTAATTCCCACTTTATTTAATAAGGCCAAATATCTTATTGCTCTTCAGTCATACTACACCTTACATGGACTATTTCTTGTTCTTGTTTTCGCTCTACATGGAATGCATGGGCTTTAAAGACCATAATTTCTTTGGTAAGGTATCGTTTGCTCTGGGGAGCTCTGCAGGGCTTTTGTGTTCTGAGCTTTCTAATTTGGCATGTCTAATGGCTATAACTGACGTAGTTTTGAATGTAGCGTATGATATAAAAGATAATTGAGCGTTATGAACTTAATTTTTTGTATGCAAACACTTTCTCTTGGATGCCACTTTTTGTTTTTTGAAATAGTAGTACTGTAAGCTCTTCAAAATGTATAGAAAATTTGGAAGTAGTATTAGCCACTCATCTGTGGTTAGCCAGGGCTGCCTTTAGGCTTTAGTTGAAGGTGGAGGGGGGAAGCTAGTTGTAGAAGGCAGGTCCTTGAACTTCAGTTAGCTTGCAGTTTTTCTGACAAATTTGTCGTACTTAAATTCCACTGGTCTTCAATGACAGAAAAACATAGCTTGTAAAAACATCCATTTCATCTGCTAAATTGATTTCTTTGTTTCCTTTGGAAAGGAATGGGTCGTGAGGTTGAAAACCTTATTTTGGAAAACACTCAGCTGTTGGAGACAAAGTAAGTGCGAATGTGTGGTGTTTTTTTTTTTAAATATAAAAAACCCTCCCCTTATTTTGTTCATGCTTTCCAAGTAAATCCCCCTATAATTGACTTTAGGGAGCGCTGAACTCTTATCGCTTCAGTGTTAAGTAATATGCATATGTTCTCAAAGCTCTCCATGACCATATATTTTACTCCTGTCTTGGAAAGTAACTATTTACCTGATTTGTCCTTCATTTGCCTGCATGCTCCCTTCAGAGACTTATTTTGGTCTCTGTGAATGTCTTCTGTCTTTAACATACAACAGAGGCAGGTGCACAGTCAGTGTGGAAGAGGAGCAAAGGCTATACAGTTAAAGATAGCGCTGTATCTATCGTGATCAGGAGAGACAGCGTGACAGAGTTGTGTGAAATACATGGTTGTCCATCTTCCTTTCTCCTTCTTTCCAAGCAAATCCACATCTTCATATTTGGAATATTTATACGGTACAAATGTACTCTCAGTTTTAAGAGTAGTGATGATACAAGTCTTTGGAGTTTGTAGGTATATTTGGCTAAATACATAGCCTAATTGATATCCTTTTAGAAATTTTGAGGATTTAGGAAGCAAAAGCTGGCTGTGTTCTTGTAAGGCTGCAAGGAATGCAGTGCAAGGCCATAGTATGAGATGAACTCTCCACCTTTTCTGTTAGCAACACAGCTGTAACTGCAGTAGGCTAATCCATTGGGGCACTGTTGAGGATTTCAACCTCTTTGTAAACTGCTCTGACTTATCAGTAATTTTTTGTAATGCAGCAGTACCAATGTATCTCATAAGGTTTGATATGGGGGAAGGGGGCTGGCCTGTTTTAGAAAGCCGTATAACTTTTCATTGCAACTCTATGTAAAAGAAATTCATTTGTAAGTCTTCAAGTCAAGAATAAAATTAAGCTGAAGCTAAACTTACTATGAGACCGTGGTCATCCTCGTAATAACATATTTTAAATGTTTGCATAGAAATGCACTGAATGTAGTGAAGAATGATTTGATAGCAAAGGTGGATGAATTGACCTGTGAGAAGGATGTGCTGCAAGGTGAATTAGAGGCTGTAAAACAAGCAAAGCAAAAGCTTGAAGAGAAGAATAAGGAACTGGAAGAAGAGCTTAGAAAGTAAGTTGAATACGATGACTACAAAAAAATAAGAAAAGAAGAAAAATCATGTGGTATCTAATACGGCTATTTTGTATGTATCTTTTTTCTAGAGCTCGTGCGGAAGCAGAGGAAGCAAGGCAGAAAGCTAAAGAGGATGATGATGTAGGTGTATGTGTATATGTGTATTTTTGTATATGTAACTTATAGTGAGGCATTATAAGTTCGTGTGCCTTTAGTGCTATTAAACTTCACTGCTTAAGCAGTGGTAAACTTTTTCCATGTGTAGAAAAGACAGAAGATCATGAGATCATCTAAAGATCATGAGTAAACTAAAACTGACCACTTCTAGTTTTCTTTCTTCTCTCCATACCTGCTATTGTGTGTCATGTTCTTTTTGAAGAAAGGTTTTTTTTTTGGTTCAGTTTATACTACATATAGAGGATGGGAGGAGAGGCAGGTAGAAGGCACTGGCTAGAACTGAGTTAGTTTTACCAAGCCCCAAACGGCTTAGAATCTGGAACTGTGCCCTAAGCTGACTCCTACCGGAAGGCAGAGGCTGACTCTGCAAGGCCCTGCTGTGCTCCTTTGTTCCTTCTATCTTTGGGTTTTTTTGTGTGTGCAGAGTGATGTCCCTACCGCTCAGCGGAAACGTTTTACTCGAGTTGAAATGGCCCGTGTCCTAATGGAAAGGAATCAGTATAAAGAGAGGTTGATGGAGCTTCAGGAAGCTGTACGATGGACTGAGATGATAAGGTAAAATGCACTTTTAAGATCTTTAATAGCGCTCCTCAGAACTTACAGGCTTTGTTTTTTGGGGTGTTTTTTTGTTTTAGCTGCAGAGTGATCTGGTCTATAGGTTATGAGGCCTTAATTTCCCTTCTGCCTGCCTCCACAATTGCCCCTGAATAAGTCTGATTTTTAGTTACCTGCATATTTATTTATTTTGTCAGGCTGAGTTCTTGGTTGGACTTTAGTGAAATGTTGCTTCATGTGGTGTGTAATGAGCCTCCCTTAATGGGATGTGTTTTCTTCAGAACAGTTATACACTTTTGTAAACATAAAAATATTAATTTGGGGGGGCAAAATTACTGTTTGTATGTGTGCACTCATCTCAAAGCAATGTGCCCAACTGTCAGCTGCGATGTCAAATAGTAATAGCATGCAATCAATTTTCAGAGCAGACACAAACCATGCATCAGAACTTGGATGGTTCAGGAAAAAGTGCAATTTAAAACTGTGCAAAGTTTCTTTAAATAGAAGCAGTAAAGATATGATTTGATCTAACTTGCATCCTGAATGTTAAGTTGTCTGGAAAAGGATTCCAAAAGAAATGGTCTTCTGCCTCCGACCTCAGTCGAGCTCATTCTTGTCACATCCTTCCCAGAGCTGTTTCCGTATCCACTGGGTAACGGTATCATTTGCTGCCGCCTGCTGGTCAGGTGTAATGTTGACATTTAATTTTTCTGTTGTTCTTAATACGTGAGAGCCATTTTGACTCTAAATCTATGAGAAAAATACGTATTCCCATGCAGATATGGCTTGCTTTCCTGTAGTTACTCTCTTCTGTGGAAGTCCTCTCCTTCCTGTGTTAAAGCATGCATGGCTTCAGGACTCTTAACTAGAGTTTCAATGTTAAGTTGTTCTCTGATCACAAAAGTAGTAGTGATGTGAAGTAGTAGGCTTTGATACTTTTGATATCTACTACCTTGTTTTATAAGCAGTGGAGCTGCGCACTCTTCTGTTCCTCTCCTTCAGAGTTAATGCTTACTCAGTAAACTTACAATTCTTTCCTTGTAGAGCATCGAGGGAAAACCCAGCCATGCAAGAAAAGAAGAGATCAAGCATTTGGCAGTTGTAAGTGCTGAAACACAACTCATTGGCAAAAATAAACCAAAAGATCCCAACCAATTAGCTGGCACGTTTTTGTGTGTTAGCTAATTATCTTTTGGCAGATGAAGATATCTTAACTGTTTTCCTTTTGTTACCTAGCATGCCTACTCGGTAAGGCCATTCTTGAAGACAAAGTGTATCGTAAGCTGCATCATAGTGAATTACTGTGCACTTAGAAGTTAAATGCCAGTGCTGTAATTTTTTTTTTAGCTGAATGCGCAGCAGGACTCTTGTTCTGAGCAGTTTAATATATTCTTTTTAAAGATGACAAAAAGAAATTTGAATGGCTCGTGTGGATTGCATTTATTTCAGCTTCCTTTCCCTCTATGAAACGTGGTTTACTGATTGTCAAATTATTCTTTCTAACTGGAAACTCTTTGAATCTAAAAAGGAGGAATAAACGGCACGATCCTTGTAAAATAATTCTTTTAATGTGGCGGCTTGCTGGTAGCTATTCTATCTTTTAGCATAGAAAATGGTGGGTTTTTTAGAATGGGATTCTGTGGTAGTGCATGAACTAATATACTTCATAGTATTTGTCTTCTGGATATGCTACTCGCATCCTAATTTTACTGGTTCTTTATAAATTTTTATTCAAGATGAGGATCCCATTTAATTTGATAAGTGAACGGGATAATACTGCTTTGATTAAGAACGTTATTGACACGCGTTTCTGTGCTTTGGGAGTAATGCTGAATGTGTGATGTCTGCTGTGTTGGGCTCCAATTTTTTCAGTTTCTAACTGTCTTGAGCAGGCTAGTGTATGCAGTGTTTTGCCCACATAGTCAAGCCTTGGGTGTATCTTACAAATCTTAACTGTCTCTTTTTTCTCACTCTAGTTTTAGCAGGCTCTTCAGTTCATCTAGTAATACAGCTAAGAAACCAGAACCTCCAGTCAATGTTAAATATAATGCTCCAACCTCACACATTACTCCATCAGTCAAGAAAAGAAGCAGCACCTTATCTCAGTTACCTAGTGACAAATCTAAAGCCTTTGAATTCCTCAGTGACGAGTAAGACATTTTGATTTTACAGTACTAGATATGATGGATCAAATATTTACTCTTTTAATCCTGTGAGATAAATGGCTTGCTGCTAAGTGAATTATAAGCATGTATAATATCTTCCTGAAGCGAATGTTGATGCTTGTGAAGTCAATATAGTGCAGACTGTGAAATATATAGCAGCGGATGAGTGTTTCAATTTGCAAATAACGCTGCCTTTCATAAAAGCGCATTTAGGCACAGGAGGCAGTACTCGGTACGTTTTTACATGCAAGTGTTGTAGTTAAAACGACTATATAGATTATCACTTTAAGTTCATTGGCAAAGTACAACAGCATGAGTCAGGCTAACAAGTGTCCATGTTTTTTTTTTTTCTCCTATGGTATTTTTTGGGTGTGGTTTTTGATTATTTTTAAATATATATTTTTTGACCTGTCGGCTTTTAGAGCTTGCAAAGATGCATAACCCATGTGGTTAATTAAGGCTACTAAAAATAGACTTTCTAGTTTTGCTAGTCTTTCCTAGATCCCTTAGAAATAGTCCACAGGAAAACTCACGTTCCACAAGTGATGTGTTGAAAACTAGCGATCTGTTTGATAACCCAATGTTTTCAGAGCGATCTTGTCTATTGAGCTTAATGGCAACTCCCATGATGCAGAAATATAAAGAATTCTGAAGAGTAACAGGTTCTTTAATAATGATTCCTTCTTAGAACTGAAGCCAGTTTAGCCTCACGCAGAGAGCAGAAGAGAGAACAATATCGCCAAGTGAAAGCACACGTTCAGAAAGAAGATGGTAGAGTGCAAGCATTTGGTTGGAGTCTACCTCAGAAGTACAAACAGGTATCACGCTTATGTTTGACAAGTAATGGCAACAACTTCATGTTCTGTAAATCCGAACAGATTCGGGAACAGAGTATTATTTCACCACGTGAGTGATTCCAGCATATTTTTCATTGTAGTTTGAACTTTTACAGTGAAAAGTTGGGTTTTCTAAAGAAAACCACAAAGCAAAACTCTTGAGCATATTTAACAAACTATGACCCTCTAATTCTCAAGGTTGCAAATTTCTTTTTTTTTTTTTCACAAGGGAAAGTGTGTTTTTTTTTTTTTTTCTTTTCTGCATAGGTGGCAAACGGTGGCCAGGGTGACAACAAGATGAAGAATTTACCTGTTCCTGTTTACCTGAGACCTTTAGATGAGAAGGATACATCTATGAAGGTAGAGTTTTTAAAGCTGTGATTTAGAGACCTTTGAGATCTTATAGGTTGCTTTTTTTTTTTTTAATGTTTACTTTTAGATTCGGTTTTCTTTAGGTAATGAAGTAGTTTTTTTAAAGCAAAGGTGATTCAGAGTTCAAACTTCAGTAAAATGTATGTAACTTTAATCTTTAACAAACTCCTTAGAGAACTGCAAAAATATTTTAATTCTGGTATTAGTTAGCATACTTAAACTAAAAAAGTCAGATGCATTGTTTAACTGATTAGTTATTTTTCAAAAACAAAAAATAAGTTTTGCTTTTCAACTGAAGTATTTTTCTTTCAAGCTGTGGTGCGCAGTGGGGGTGAACCTTTCAGGAGGGAAAACACGAGATGGAGGGTCTGTGGTTGGTGCTAGCGTATTCTACAATGACATGACTGGTTTGGATGCAGATGGCAACAAGCAGCGAACAGGATCTCAAAGCAGCTTAGATAGACTAGACCAAGAACTCAAGGTAAGATCAGTGACTGGCGTGTTGAATAATTAACAGCTTTACAGTGTATCTTAGGTCAATACTGTATTTGGTAATTGGGTTTGGTAGTTAGTGGTAATGAATATAGTTTTCTCAGGAAGTCATCACCACGGGGTGTTTAGGATATTGAATCCAACTATTATATAAATTTTATTCTTTCCTGTGTGCCAGCTTGTTGGTGAATCTAAGGAGTAAATCAGTTATACATCAAAATGATGCACTGTTTATGCTAGTGTTGCCCACCCTAGAAAATATTTGTGATACAATTGTCAAAGTTCTGACTAGCATTAGAAGATTTTTTTTCTCCCCCCCCCCCCCCTTCTCCACCCTTTCCCCACGC